CTGAATGGAAGAGAGGAAGAAATGGTTTATTAATGCAAAGTTTGACAAAGAACTCAAGGCTTATTTCAAAAACTTTGATACTGAAATTTTTGAGCTGATTTAAAAAATGAGATATGAATTTTATTATTTCATGAATCTCATGACATGTATGAGTGACTTAGATATACTGCAACATAATTTAATGACTGAATATGGAAATTTATGAACAAAGACACACTGGATAAAATTTTGAAATTAAACGCATGCATATGAAGTCAAACCAAAATATTTTTAGATTTTTTTATCACTTTAATCTTTTACCTCAAATATTTTAAACAAATAGAATTCTGTCCCTTGTCAACCCTGGGCTATTTATTAATAAATGAGATATGAATTATGATCGAACATGCTCATGATGTCAAGGAACCACCATCGAATGCTGATAATTGAACAAAAAGCAATTTAATTTCAAGTTTTACATAATTCTATAGAAAAATCTAATTATTACTTGAAGTCATGACAGATCAAATGTCTTGCCTTCTTTAGGTGGTCGAGCAGAGCCACCTTCAAGAATGATATCCAATTGTGAATCAATCCTTCATGTAAGCAAGTGTCCAATTGGTGTTACTCATTAATGTGACGATAGCTCCAGTCTGTCTCAACTTAAGGCCACCACCATCACACATACAACCAGTGTGCAAAGCTTCACACCTTCCTACCTACAGTCATAAGACCATCATATCCCAAAATTCAATACAGTACTGCTGTTTTCTGTAGTTTCATTCAGAGATTCTAAAATTCCATTACAAATTACATAAAAGATCTGAATGCAGATCTTGAAAGCAACATCCATAGCCTAAGCAAAATGGAGAAGCAAATATTCCAAATAAATCTATAAAAGACATCCTCATAACTAGCCTACTTGTCAGAACCACATGACTACCCAAAGTTTCAAAATAGCCAGGTTCATGACACTATACATAATCTCTCTGACAGCCAAATAAACTTGGTGTTGTGGGCTGCACTCTGTGTTGATTTGTGGCTTGCATTACTTACGTTGTTTGGGTTGAGTGAAAGCAGGATAGCATTGTAACCAAACTTAAAATTCACTCTTGATACAAAAATCATTAAAATTCAATTTTTCAAATAGAAGAACCATTATAAACATTACCTGCAGGTTGACTCTAAGGTAGCAACAATTCACATAAAAACACAACAGATTCTATATTTATTGAGGATTCATATTTTACTAACATGATGTAGGTCTGCCAATAATGTAATCTGCAAATTTTATTTTGATCAGTATACAGAATTTTGATTAACACACAAATGCAAACATTACTGGTAAATATTCATCTAAAGAATATTCTTTTATCTTATGACCACCTGCAGGATATGTTGATACTTTATTATTCTCTAAACACAAATTACAAAATGGCCTTTAAAGTAGGGCACTTGGTTAAGCAAGAGGAACAGTAATTCCAGATATAATTATATTATATGGATAAAAGCATAATAAATACACACTAAGTTATCACATTAAAAAATGCATCATGCATCATGCAAGACCAAGCTGGACACTACCTTCCTTAACTTTTGTGATGTGTTGACAACCATTGTAACACTGGTTTTATGATGTGATGGTTGTACATGAATGACATATTAAGAATTCATGACAAATCACAGAAGCCAAAGTAAAATATAAGAAGTCTAACCTACTCAACAGATGTTGTTATACACAACTGTTAAATCAGAAATTAAAAATCACAAATCATCCATTCACAAATCTAAGTCACCAAAACAAAAATTGCATTAACAGCTAAAATTCATGCCATTAATTGCAGACCAATTTAACACTGGCTGTCAAATGTATTATTGTAACACTGCCTGTCAAATGTATTATTGTAACACTGGCTGTCAAATGTATTATTGTAACACTGGCTGTCAAATGTATTATTGTAACACTGCCTGTCAAATGTATTATTGTAACACTGGCTGTCAAATGTATTATTGTAACACTGCCTGTCAAATGTATTATTGTAACACTGCCTGTCAAATGTATTATTGTAACACTGCCTGTCAAATGTATTATTGTAACACTGCCTGTCAAATGTATTATTGTAACACTGCCTGTCAAATGTATTATTGTAACACTGGCTGTCAAATGTATTATTGTAACACTGCCTGTCAAATGTATTATTGTAACACTGCTTGCCAAATGTATTATTGTAACACTGCCTGTTAAATGTATTATTGTAACACTGGCTGTCAAATGTATTATTGTAACACTGGCTGTCAAATATATATTAGTGTAACACTGGTTAACAAATGTATTATTGTAACACTGGCTGTCAAATATATTATTGTAACACTGGCTGTCAAATGTATTATTGTAGCACTGGCTGTCAAATGTATTATTGTAACACTGGCTGTCAAATGTATTATTGTAGCACTGGCTGTCAAATGTATTATTGTAGCACTGGCTGTCAAATGTATTATTGTAGCACTGGCTGTCAAATATATATTAGTGTAACACTGGTTAACAAATGTATTATTGTAACACTGGCTGTCAAATGTATTATTGTAACACTGGCTGTCAAATATATATTAGTGTAACACTGGCTAACAAATGTATTATTGTAACACTGGCTGTCAAATGTATTAGTGTAACACTGGCTGTCAAATGTATTAGTGTAACACTGGCTGTCAAATGTATTAGTGTAACACTGGCTGTCAAATGTATTAATGTAACACTGGCTGTCAAATGTATTATTGTAACACTGGCTGTCAAATGTATTATTGTAACACTGGCTGTCAAATGTATTATTGTAACACTGGCTGTCAAATGTATTATTGTAACACTGGCTAATGAATGTACTATTGTAACACTGGCTGTCAAATGTATTATTGTAACACTGGCTGTCAAATGTATTATTGTAACACTGGCTGTCAAATGTATTATTGTAACACTGGCTGTCAAATGTATTATTGTAACACTGGCTGTCAAATGTATTATTGTAACACTGGCTGTCAAATGTATTATTGTAACACTGGCTGTCAAATGTATTATTGTAACACTGGCAGTCAAATGTATTATTGTAACACTGGCTAATGAATGTACTATTGTAACACTGGCTGTCAAATGTATTATTGTAACACTGGCTGTCAAAAGTATTATTGTAACACTGGCTGTCAAAAGTATTATTGTAACACTGGCTGTCAAATGTATTATTGTAACACTGGCTGTCAAATGTATTATTGTAACACTGGCTGTCAAATGTACAATTATAACACTGGCTGTCAAATGTATTATTGTAACACTGGCTGTCAAATGTATTATTGTAACACTGGCTGTCAAATGTATTATTGTAACACTGGCTAACGAATGTGCTATTATAACACTGGCTGTCAAATGCATTTTTGTAACACTGGCTGTTAAATGTATTATTGTAACACTGGCTGTTAAATGTATTATTGTAACACTGGCTGTTAAATGTATTACTGTAACACTGGCTGTTAAATGTATTATTGTAACACTGGCTGTTAAATGTATTATTGTAACACTGGCTGTCAAATGTATTATTGTAACACTGGCTGTTAAATGTATTACTGCAACACTGGCTGTCAAATGTATTATTGTAACACTGGCTGTCAAATGTATTATTGTAACACTGGCTAATGAATGTACTATTGTAACACTGGCTGTCAAATGTATTATTGTAACACTGGCTGTAAAATGTACTATTGTAACACTGGCTGTCAAATGTATTATTGTAACACTGGCTGTCAAATGTATTATTGTAACACTGGCTGTCAAATGTATTATTGTAACACTGGCTAATGAATGTACTATTGTAACACTGGCTGTCAAATGTATTATTGTAACACTGGCTGTCAAATATATTATTGTAACACTGGCTGTCAAATGTATTATTGTAACACTGGCTGTCAAATGTATTATTGTAACACTGGCTGTCAAATGCATTATTGTAACACTGGCTGTCAAATGTATTATTGTAACACTGGCTAACGAATGTGCTATTATAACACTGGCTGTCAAATGCATTTTTGTAACACTGGCTGTCAAATGTATTACTGTAACATTGGCTGTTAAATGTATTATTGTAACACTGGCTGTCAAATGTATTATTGTAACACTGGAGGTTAAATGTATTACTGTAACACTGGCTGTGAAATGTATTACTGTAACACTGGCTGTCAAATGTATTATTGTAACACTGGCTAATGAATGTACTATTGTAACACTGGCTGTCAAATGTATTATTGTAACACTGGCTGTCAAATATATTATTGTAACACTGGCTGTCAAATGTATTATTGTAACACTGGCTGTCAAATGTATTATTGTAACACTGGCTGTCAAATGTATTATTGTAACACTGGCTGTCAAATGTACTATTATAACACTGGCTGTCAAATGTATTATTGTAACACTGGCTAACGAATGTGCTATTATAACACTGGCTGTCAAATGTATTATTGTAACACTGGCTGTCAAATGTATTACTGTAACACTGGCTGTTAAATGTATTATTGTAACACTGGATGTTAAATGTATTACTGTAACACTGGCTGTTAAATGTATTACTGTAACACTGGCTGTCAAATGTATTATTGTAACACTGGCTGTCAAATGTATTACTGTAACACTGGCTGTTAAATGTATTATTGTAACACTGGCTGTTAAATGTATAACTGTAACACTGGCTGTTAAATTATTATTGTAACACTGGCTGTTAAATGTATTATTGTAACACTGGCTGTTAAATGTATAACTGTAACACTGGCTGTTAAATGAATTATTGTAACACTGGCTGTTAAATGTATTACTGTAACACTGGCTGTTAAATGTATTATTGTAACACTGGCTGTTAAATGTGTTATTGTAACACTGGCTGTCAAATGTATTATTGTAACACTGGCTGTTAAATGTATTACTGTAACACTGGATGTTAAATGTATTACTGTAACACTGGCTGTTAAATGTATTACTGTAACAC